GACCCGTGAATCTTGCTACGAACTATTCAGGCCTTATGTTGGTGCAACACCAGCAGAAGTCTGAACAATTCGTCCAAGTGGCAGCAACTTCCTCTCACTGCTTGCTTTGAGATCTGCCAGGGCCTGGGCGACAACCGAGAGAGGAATTCATTATGATCTCAGTTACCTATACATGCATGTATCTATGTCTATGCTTATGTATATACATGAAACGGTATATATCTATGTACACATGTCTGTAAGTATGAATGTATATAGGGAGGGTAGGTTGCTGGGTTCAGATTACTGTGGGATTATGGGGTTTAGGGAGGATGTAAGCCTCAGGGAACAGCAACACACTGCATAGCTGGGTTCTTTGAGAGTTGGCTCACGATCATTGCTGATTGTTGAGTGCCCTGTTCCAAGCTACGGTTGCAATGGAGTTGCACCAGAGGGTTGAAAGTCAGAAATGGGCCTTAGCACTCGGAATAGAGTGAATAGAGATCGGGGGAATCTTCTTATATACCGAAAAACGAGGAACCCTAAAGACTAGTAGTATATGTTCAGGCCCCTAAATACCTACTCAGCTACTACGCCCATCAACCGGTGCCAAGGCTTCGAGGTGATTGGTCATCAACTCACAAACTGCGGTGATGGCCTGCAGTAGTCTATTTAATAGTGGTTTTGATAGACCCTACCGGTCCCTATACCCAACATGATCACCATTGTTGTGCCGTGATTGATGCCGATATTCTTCTTATGACGCACTCACTTTACGCCATGACCAATTTCTACACCTACGACGGTAGCGATCATACCAGTGGTCGTCCTAAGGGCATCCCGGCGCAGGCTTTCCTGCATGACTGCAGATGTGTCTCGTAGGGCTCGTTTAAGGGTTACGGAAGGATGATTCATTGCCTTGTTCAAGGATCCTCATGTTAAGGATCTTGTTGTCTCCGACTCCACAAAAGGGTCCGATAAATTTTCTCAAAGTCTCATATGGTGAACCCGAGGGCTGAAACAGGCCTAACCTAATCTTCCACGCCGAGTCTTCACTTACCGTGAAAGCTTTGCGGCCGCAATAACCATAAAGGGTCTTCTCTCACTGCGGAAATCGTCATTTTTCTCCAGTGCCTAATGTTCTTGTTCATCAGTAACAGTGGGCAACAGGGGGTGAAACTAAATAGAGTTCTTTCAAGCATCTGACTCAATCATCGTGAACTCAGTAGCTTGCCAGAATGAGAAGGAACCATGTAAGGGATCCCAATATGCAGCAAAGTCCGCTGAACGCGACACCCCCAAACATACATCATAGTAATCCTTATAGTAGCCCTCTTATACTCTGCACTTCTGCAGTATCCGCTAAAGCAAACCTTGCAGGTTTACAACACATCGCCGACGCGTCCCAGCTGGGGCTCCCTAGCCAGACGCAGGTTGTACATCTTCATCCCTTGAACCTCGGCATAATATAGCGGTTGGAGAAATCCGAAACACTAAGTCCTCAACATGTAGACACCGGTGGTAGGGTTAGGTTCACCAGGATGTTCCAGGGTTTGGACCGGTAATCGTCCTCATTGTAGTATCACTCTACGGGGACTGCAACTACAAACGCCTCAGAATTGCAAAGGAGACCGGGAGCTGAGGTTTAGAGCTCAGGATAGCCAGCGCTCAAGGTTGATGGTGGTGTTGGGGTGTTGGGGCCGGTTCGCGTTCAGGATTCGGAGTTTTTGGTTCGGGGATGGTCGGGCCTGGTAGGGCGTGGTAGGGCTCAGGAGGGGTTGTGTTTAGGGGTCAAAGCGCAGAGTATATAGGATTTAGAATTAGGAGAGAGACGGTGGAGCTACGAGATCCCCAGGGTTGTGGTTCGGGGTGTTTTAGGGTTTGCAAACTCATGGGCCGCATGAGAGCCTCAGCCAAATCCGAATGTTTCAGGGCGTAGAGACTGTGCCTGAGCCGTGTCTTGCAGCAATTGCATAAGTTAAGGGAAGCTACATGCTAGCTTTGCAGCTCCCACGTGACCATGAAGCTGGCTAAAGTTCCAAACTCCAAACGCTTGGCAGGGCCCGGAAGCTGCCGAAGCAGGTAACACGAGCCTCAGAGGTCGCCAGAGTTTACACAGGTTTGTGCTAAAAAGAAACTGTTGTGTAGCATCTAGAGATTGATGAACACTTTCGGCCTTACAGGCCCCTAGTAGGGATCTCAACTTCGGACGATGCAAACAGGAAAGGCCCTAATTACTTCATGTGATGAGTTCCTTTGTCACAGGAAGCCATCGCAAGTCCTAGCTTGTGAAACTCCCGCTGAGGCCGGCGCATGCATCAACTCGGCAAGATCGTCCTCGAACTGAACATTCAGCCTTTCCGTGTCCAGAGCTACAGTTCAGGCTGAAGGTCGAGCCTTGTAGGGATTTGGATTCAGGGTTCAGGGTTGAAGATGTAAGGTTGAGGTTTCAGGACGCATGGCCGGGAATGCAGACACCAGCCCAGGTGCTCTGTTACAATGCCTCTGCTTTCCTGCATATGACCAGTTTGATAAGCACGATACAAACACAAACTCTGTTCTATTCATAAAACCGAAGTAACACCAAACTCCAAACTCGGAGTACCGTTCCTCCGCCTTCTACAGAAGCTCAGTGCGAAGCTCTGCAATCTTAGCCTGGTAAGCGCGGTGGACGGCCTTTAGAAGCAGACAGGCTTCAGACGTTTTTTGGTTCAAGGTGGGAAGGGAGGCTGACCCCAAAAACAGTCTAATAAATGCTGCTTTAAAATAAAGGCCTTAAGGAGCTTAGAAGGTCTTCAAGGTTACGTTTATGAGGCGGTGTGGGGTGATCGGGTTAAGATTTGTCTGGCGTGTATCCACAAAGGGCCTGTAAGCGCCCCCGGGTTCATGGGCTTGAGTTTTGCAGGCAGGGTCTACTACAGCTCAGTGTTCACAGGCCTAGGTTCGCCTGGCCGTTTTTCTTTGTTGATCAGGTTTGGGATGAGGATTTGGGGTTCAGAACTTACAGTTTAACGGTTAAGAGTTTACGGGTCGTCAAGATTATGGGTGCTGGGTTCATGATTGCTGTGGACCCCTCTGATAGGGATTGTGTAGAGGATGAAAGTATGGTGCTTTGCACGCCTGTGGTCTACACTCTGTTGTTGCAAGCCTTTAGGGCCGCTAGCTCATCGGCTCGGGACCCATGGATCCGTCGCTGTCACTCTCATTCCCCTAGTCTTGCGGCATTCGGGTGTCGGACTTTTAATGTTGCGGGGGTGTCATCGCAGTTTCGTTAGGGGTTCAACGCGAAAGATGCGAATGAATCATGCCGAAAATCTCGAGAATGTCAAGCTTTCCTACTACACTACACAGGACTACAGATGTTACTCGCAGAGGGTCGGTCACAAATGTATCCTAGGCAGAAGCCGGCTGACGTTGACCAGCAAGGCTCCGCTTGGAACAAAAACCCGACTTTGCGACCCCTCCCCGTCGCCTGCTCCGCGCGAAATTCTCGCCACACCTGGCTTTGAGTGACTTCGGCGATTGTGTTCAATCCTACTATTTGTCCCTGCAAGCCACAGGACCCCCAACATGCAACCTGTGCATCCTGAAACCCCTGAAGCCACTGTTTCCTACACCCGTGTATAACAATCACTTCAAGCCCTAAGTAAGATTTAGAGTCTCGAGATCCTGCAGTGCTTTGCAAGTCCCGCCGGGCCCACGCCAAGCATGCGCCTGGGGGCTGAGAAGTTACAGCTTCGCTTTTGGACTCTTCAGTAGCTTCTATGTGGCTGAATTCCTTTGGCCATAGGTTTCAGGTGTCGGGCTTCCGGTTTAGGGTCTCTCGTTCTCCCTCCCTCTCTCTCTCTCTCTCTCTCTCTCTCGCTGTGCCTTTGGTAACTCGACGGCTTATCCAAGTGCTCGGCATCTTAAACTCGTGTTTCTACAAGCAAAAGCGCACACACACACACACATCGCCCGAAAGCCCAATACTCCAAACCGAAGAACCGCATCATAGTCATAGTGGCAACAAGAATGATGGAATGTAGTACTAGTAGTCGCGGTGAAAATAATCAGAATCTGACAGTAACAGGGATGACTTAAAATGGCTTACAATAAACATGACATCAAAAAACTGAGCATAGGAATAACACTTATGAATCATAACACTCATTTTCCGAAGGAGGCCACAAACAAAGCATAGGGTATGCACACCACAACAGCCCATTTTCCCTGAGAGCTCGCAGCCTTAACAATCAGAACAGAAGTTGTGGTGTGAAAACCTAGTACTGGTACTTATTCAGATTTCTGTATATACTATACAGTGGCAAAAAGCCAACCCCCACATCCAACTATCATGTTGCCGGCCAGGCGCTGCAGCAAGAACTGGTGGTTTGCAAGCTCGTGGCCTGCAGAGCTTCGGAGTGCCAGGGTCCGGGAAACGTGTTGGGGGAACTCATTGGGGCATAGTGCACTATGATTACACAATAGGGACTATCTGCATCATAGGGTGCTGACAGCTCATTCCAGGTTTCAGGAGTGAGGGTCGAACTACGGGGCTTTTTTCGGCCTCAAGATGTCTAGATAAGACTTCGGGGCATTCCTATCCTTGGGCTGTCTGGAACTTCATAATTTCATAACGAGGAATAGATGGACTTGGGGGCATGAAATTCTTCTTACTGCAGCTGCTTACTTGCTTGCCGCACTCACATGGTACAGCACTACTCCTGTCAATGCTATTACTCTTCATCTTAATGCTTTGATGTGCCTGGACGATATGCTTTGACGCTTTGCCGAACGGATTGCATCTGATTTGACACGACCCGGGAATGCTGTCGATCAACAACACAAGAAACCACGGACACATTAGTCTGATCAAAGCCTTGATGTCTTGTCCTTTCGTCTGACCTCTGACTTTTCACGCGTGCCCGCCCCCCGAGCTGCATTGGCTGGGGCTCGACTGGGAAATGGCTCATCTCCTCAGCATCGCCTCGTCCTAGTCCAACTGCTGAACCAAAATAATAGTCTAGCTACTTCGCCGCTTAGCCCAGCTGGTTGAGCTTCTTGAGGAGTTCCTGTCGCCTGTGCCAGAGAGGGTCCTCGCTCGGACCGGGTCGGTAGTCGCTGTCAGAGTCCGTGTCCAAAAGAGCCTGCGGCTCGGGCGCCGGAGCTTCCGGAGCTGGCGGGGCCTCCTTGATCTCGGGAAGCAGAGGCTCCGGGGGTGTGGGAGGCTCAGGGAGGACCGGGACCGTCTCCTCCCAGGGTTCTGAGGTCTCCTCTGCCAGATTCAATGGAAGAAGAGAGGCAGAAGGCAGCACAACCAACTCCTCCTCTTCATCGTCATCGTCGTCGTTCTTCTGCGGTTCTTCCTGCATCGCGTCGCTGGCGTCGAGATCCGGCAGGTGTGGACCCATGACTGGAAGAACTGCAGACGAACTTTTTGCAGTGGATTTCTGCTTCTTACTTGCAGTCGCACCATCCTCACCAGGCTCAGCTGCGTGAACTTTTCGGGAAGCACTTGCATGTTGAGATCGCTCTCGGAGCATGCGACCGGCCTCCCGCCCAAACCACCTGGAGAGGTAGTCCACCAGCAAACTGGGCTGCCCATGTTTACGCACGTAGGCCCAAGCCTTCCGCTCGCTTTCAAGCGCAAGCGCCCGAGCCACTGCGCAAAGAGGAGCAAGCTGTCCATGGAGCTGGACACTCCGAGAGAAGCTTGCACCAAATTTAAGCGTCTTTTGTCCTACGACCGCACGCACGCCTCTGGAAGAAGAAGCAGCAGAGATCGCATCGCTGGTCAGGGCACAAGGCCCGTCAGTTCGAAGCCAAACTTGCAGAGAACCATCGCCGGAGTCTTCGCATGAGAGTTGGACCAGAAGTGCCGAAACTTCGACCGCCGCCGCGAGCTTGGAAAAGCAGCAGCCAGCAATCTCCAAGCAACCTGGGCCCGGGCCGTCAGCTCGCACTCGAGCGCTGGCCCCCGAGTCCTCCTGGATCTGAAAGAGCAGATCCTTATAGGTCTCGGAGAGCGTGGACTCGCATCCTTTCGGCAAGCCAAGGAGAAAGTTCTCGGTTGACACGAAGTCATCCGGCGGATCGGACTCCAAGAGCATGAGGGGTACAGCTGGTGGCTCTCGCACCTTCACGTCTGCCCAGCGGGAGTAGCGCCGAATTCGGCATCTCACAGTGTGCACGACAGAGCCCACTCGACGTGGATGGCCCGAAAGCAAGAGCTTGCGAAAGCGCCGTCCGCTGACCTCGGCATAGCCCAAGAGCTCCATGTCGACCGTGCGCGTTGGTGCTTGCAGTGACTCGCCGGAGGCCTCCGCCTCCGCCTCGTGGCCTCCTTTCTCCTCCGAAGCCAAGGTAGTCTCATCGGAAGCTGTTTCCACTTGCTTCCGCAGATCGGAATTGACCCAGTCTGACAAATCCTCGAGAATCAGCACCGCAAGCTGCACATTGGCAGACGCAAGGCCAATTTTGGTGCCTGCGACGCGAAGCTTCTGGATGCGTGCAAGGTCATCCAAAAACAAGAAACAAGCATCATCAACGCATTGGCAAGGTCCGCTTACTTCCACAAGCGTTTCGTCGCTGCCCAAGTCCGACAGCTGGAGTCGAGCGCCAGTGCGGGCCTGCAACTCCTGGACGTTTTGACCCTTTTTGCCAATCAGGCGACCGGCAAAGTCGCCAGAAACTGCCAGGTACAACAGGGAGCTGCCGGAGGCCGCGGCGGCTGCCGAGGCGGCCGTTCTCTCGCATCGCACATCCGTCATGCCTATAGCCCTGGCATTGCTCTCATGGTTCAGCTCAGTGCCCGGTACTTGTCCGAATAACAGCTGATGATCATGAAGAGAATCAAGAGGAAGACAAGAGAATGATGATGACGATGGAGATGATGGTGCTTGGGATGATGGCCATGACTATCATGACGATGGCGATCGTGATTGCGATGCTACAGGCGTCGGATGTAGACGCCGCTGCATATGCACATGACGGTCATAGCTTTAATGTAAACACCTGTGCATTCAACAACATTAGCTCTGCCTTGGGTCTGCTAGTGCTGGACGCTGGCGATTAGCATGTGTTCATGCTTCCACGGATTTGGGCCTGGAGGTCACGGCGGAAGACGTGAATGTGTTGGTTTAAGCGGCTTCGCTCTCAGCTTTTGCGCCATGTCTTTGTCGGCTCATTTCACATGTGCCTGCATCCTGAGAGACTTCGGATTTTAGGGTCATTAGGACTTCGGGGTAACATAGGGGCCTAAATATGTAGAGTAAGGTTTTGGTGTAGGCTGTAGTACGATGATGTAGGGACTATCAGGGCATGTTAGAAGTGGTGATTCAGGCTCCTAGACGCTTCGATCCCTGGGCATTGGGAGCTACGCAGGGAAAAGCAAACTTGAGGCCAGGGCTGAGTGCAGCGTAGACACCGTTCCTGAGCCCACGACAGGAAGGGTTGCTCGCAGATCCATTCGGATTTCGACTGTTCACAGTTGGGTCCGAAGTCTTGTCATAACTGCCAAAATATCCACCTACTCCAAGCTAACATCGACAGGCTTTGATTCGGGATTCTGAACCCAGGGCTCAGGTCATCTGATACCCGAGATTCTGCTGAAGCCCGCTGTCCGAGAGATGGTTGCTTCTGTCCGACTGTGCCGGCCCCCAATCTGTATCTGCGGTGTGTGCATGTATACGAACACTAAGAATGATAGAGATTCATAAACATGATATATGGCAGCAGCAAATATACAAAGGACGTATGCGTGTATGTATGTGTTGCACCCTCAAACGAAATAAGGGGTCACGACCCGCAGTGTGCAAACCTGCAATAACTTATAAGCCTTGACCCCTACATCCCAAATCCCTAAACTCGAAATCCGAACCCCAAAACTCCAACCTTAATCCGAAAGCCCAACCTTAAACCGACGAGCCCTGAACCTTAATCCTAAATTCTAAACCCATTATCCAAGCCCGGATTCCTCAAGCATGTATATACTTTTTTGGATGTATAAGTATGTGTTTTTTTCACAAAAAATGCTCAAGAATCCTACTTGTAGCAGCTAGGACAGAATCCTAAAGCCCCAAGCCCCAAACAGAGCCCTAGACCCTAAACAGGAAGCTCCAGGCAAGTTGCTTCTTCGAATGGTCGCGGAGCTGCGACTTCACTTCGTTCATCTCCTTGGGACGTGTTTGGATCTCGGGAATACAGCGTTATAGGGCTTTCAGGTTGTTATTGTAAGTTGCTCAAAACCATAGGAAAGTCAAATTAGGGTTTGGGGTTTGCTGTTAAAGTTTATAAGGTCTAGATAAGAACTGATGACAAGCTGAAGCATTGGCTATCACGGCCGACTTTCGTGCATGAGTTCTTCTGGGCCGGCGTGCGCATCCCGTCCAAGAAAGACACGAGAACCTAGAACAGCACTTAACGTAGCTGAACCTCCCTTGTAGCCCCAAACCTTGCAAAGAAAACGGGATATGAACATGTGTAGTTTGAACCAGAAGTTCTGCTCTACCGGTTGCCACGGCATCATCCGGCCTTTTCAATTGACGAATGGAGACCCGCAGGCCAAGAACTTTCCGTGGGTTTGGGCGGGGTCTGTCGCTTCGGATCCCGTAGTGTCTGCCAGGATTCCGTGGAGTGCTTCTCTTGTGCTTCGCTGCGCATGAGCTCCATCTGACTCTCCACCACCTCCGTGCACAACCAATCATGTGTGTCAATTGCGTATGTTGCACATGGTCCTTAGTCACTTCGTATGGGCTTTGTCACTCCGGGCGGGATGGGTCCAGTGTCAACTAGTGCAGATTTTTGAAACCCTCATTAAAGTGATGCGGTGCATATCGGGTCGGGAGGATTTGGGGATCATGAACGCAACCAGGAAATGCAGGAACTAACGAATAAATATTTGCTCGGCAATGCGTCCATCGCATCCGTCACGATGAGAATCCCCAAAAAGCACATGATACATGTAGTACATCGAGTCTGCAACTTCAAGAGATGAAGCATACGCTGCAACTTGGCCAGGCGTGTAATACTAATGTTAAACGGCTGCATTGCCTTGCGTACCCGAAGCTGTGGGAAACATCGCTCATGCCTTAGGATGGATACTGCAGGGTCTTGACCATCAGCAGTATGACACCCCTAAGACCCTAAGCCCTTGACTCATGACCAGAACCAGACAGCCTTCTTACAGTCCATCCCAGATTTTCGAGACAGATTGTTTTTTTTGGGGCTTCCTAATTGCTGAGCTGTCAGCACATCAGAGAGACTGACCTTCGCTGGACTCTGGCGTTCTGCAAACCCAGGACCATTCAACCTTCTGCCCCATCTCAAGAAGCAACACCATGTTACCGGCCTTTGGTGGAGAAAAGACTGGGGATGTGGGGTCCATGACGTGGGGTTCAGGGAATAGTCTAGATACTGGCCTGAATCGGGCTCTCTTGATACCTGCTCAGTATCCCGAGGCGGTAAGGGTTGAGGAAGATAACTCACACGAAACCTGAGACACTGACAAGAACCCTAAACTTTGCTCAGGAAGAAATGTCTAGCTTCGCACCTGCTGCGACCACGCCACGAGACAGCGCCTCAGCATTGGCGAAATCCAACCATCGAAAAAACTGAAAATGTCAGTTTCATATCTTAAACGGCTCGACCCAAACATAAATACGGCTCGCATCCACGTTAGGCCCGACAACCACCGAACCAAATGCTAGCAACCATCCTCCCTCGGCACCCCCACACGCGTAACATATGGGATCGAATACGTATAACTTAAAGTAAGGTTGTGGGGACTTGTACTATGTGAACATACCGGAGAACACATGGTCGTTCCACAGGCCTGTACCAACACTAGCCACGAGGCAGGTCGCTGGAGCCCGAGTAGTTTAGGCCTTAAGCTCTTAAAATGGTCTATGGCACAGCAGCAGAACTCACTTGGAGTCAGAAGTCTTTGATGCTCGGTCTGCGGGATTCTGAGCTTGAACTTAAAGACTTAGCATGTCAGGAAGTCCGGGGAATCGAACCGGAACCACAGAACCGGAACCGCAACGACCGAATCGCACCGGAACCGAACCGCAGCTGAACCATGAAAATGGCTCCTTCATCGACCTGTGCCTCCCCGGCCACCGCCTCCCAACCACCTGTGTTTCGATTCGGGAGCCTCGGGGCGTCACCTATGCCGGCCTGTACCTCCCGACCAGCTGTCCGTGCCTCAAGCCTCGAGCCACCTCTGCTACTGGTAGCAACCATCTGTGTCTCTCAGCAATCTTGCCTCCAGCCCCCTTGCCGCGTCCACCTGCCTCTCCCACACACCCCTGTAGTTGTGGTTGGGAGGCATTGTCTCGTCTTTGACCTCTGTTGCCTGCGGGGCAGAATTCCCGAGCACATGCAGCTGCCCTAGGAAGATCAGCGGTGGATTTGCTATATACAATACAATAGTGGAGAAGGGTGTGGTGACCTCAAGAGGCGTGCAAGTTCTTGCTGTGCCTTGAAATCCCCTAGACGAAAATAGTGTTTGGCGAACTCGAAAAGCCATGAAGAAACCGGAATTGGTTGGCAAACCCTAAACCCTGACATGCATACGGAGATGCTGGTTGGCAAACCCAGACCCACGAAACACGAAACTGCAGCAAAAACCTCAAACTCGGACAGATTCTTCCACATTTTTGGCATTTGGCACCCCAGTGCTCACAGCCCCCCCTTCGCGTTAGGACCGCAAGCAGGCTCCCTTCTTCCACGTTGTGGTGTTTCCGAACCCTTGCACACCCACCCCTCACAGCCCCCAATGAGGCCTCCAATCACCCCGTGTGCAGACCCTTCTGAACCCACGGTTCATTACATAAAAATAGCGAGTATCGGAAATAATACGGAACAGCGACTAACAGAATCGAATCTACTGGAGACGAAATAAACCCGTCTAGGTACTCAGAAGTGGCACCTGTGAAGTCACGCAAGAACCGAACCGCACAATGATTAGGGTTCGGTTCACGGAAACTGCACAGAAACGACCTGCAGTCATTGGCAGTTGGGCTTTGCAACGACGGCACTAACGGACCTGCACTAGTCGGCACAACTTCCGCATCTGAGAGCTCTGCTTCACAATGGACAGCAGCATCATCCGCTCTTTCCCTGCGCGTGGCTTGCTCGAGGGTCGCTTCAACCCCAACAAACCGGTTTCCCGGAGAAAAGGAATCTCTGCTAGACCTCCACCCAGTCAAATCCAAACGCCAGAACGGATCCTTTAGAGATGGATCTCAACAGGGCTGTCCATTTCGGAGCATGGACAAGTCCTTTACCCCCAAACAAGGCGGTACATTGAGCGATCTATCTAAACCCTCGACCCCACAAGCCTTTAACTGTTTAGCTGGGCTTACGTGGGGTCCTCTACGCAGGACAGCTCTTGATCCTAAGCCGGGGTTTAGGTCTTAGGAGTTTACGGGCGTTCAGGAACTGTAAGACCCAGCCTTGCACCGACTGCGCAATGAACTTCGCCCGCCGGTCATCTTGGCAACAGGGGGCTGCGCTACGGGGCTCGGGGAGGTTGTGGTCAGAATAGGGTAGAGAACATGAGAGCAACAGAGGGTTCCGCAGCAACTATTCAGATGGCCATGCTTTGTGTCAAGGGCTCGTGGTTTGAGGTTGCGGTTCGGCTACAGAATTTTATCTTTTCTCATAAGATGTCCTTCTCGTGCGGAACATCCCTGCCGCCGGTATGTAAGGTCCGCTCTGTGCCGCTGCTCCATCTTGCGCCGGTCTTCCTGGCATCGTGGCTGTTCAATCATTCAAGCAACCTGAACCCAAATGCTGTAACTGCTTCAGAGCTCCACAGCAAGCAGAGCCTCGTGCTGCCTCTTCGCCTCCTCGACCTTTCGTTCTTCGATTTGGATCTCGACAGACTTCCCTGCCATGGAAAACAGAAGTCCAGGGCTAGTGAGTGAAAGGACCCGTCTCTTCTGAGCCCCCTGATGTCTGGGCTTCGCGAGTCGGGGCTTCGGGTATGCAGGCTTTCGGTGGTTCTCTGGCTCATCTCGCTTCTGTTGGAATCATGAAAAATATGAGACCGAGCATGGCCTTATGCCCCAAGAGTTGCAAGCCCTGGCACAAGCCCTGAGGGCGAGAGCCCCTGAAAGCACAAAACCACTCCAAGCCCATGAATCTTCAAGGCATCGAGATCGAACCCCAAGCGTGCAGAGCGCGGCGGAACTGAAGGAACATCTCCTGGGCATGCTCGTTTTAATTCATTTAGCTCTCCGCAGGTAGTTTGAAGTGTCTGGCGAGGGTTTCTTAGTGCGTAGTGGGGCTTCTGATGGTTGCTCTAAACGTCCTTTTGAAGGAGGAGCGGGTAGGAGTGCAATCACCTGCATATGAGGAGATCCAATCCGAAAAGGTACCTAGATACCCGGCCACTACACTTCGGCTTGAGGCTGTCGAATTTCAGGCTTCTCTTGGGTTTCACACAACGAAGAAGTCTGATATGCTAGTGCTTAATTAAGGGGTGTAGGGCTCAGGCTATAAGGCTGAGGGCCGAGGGTCAATAGCATGCAGGCCTTCTTTTTCGGGACTTCTTGCGAAGGGTCCTCCCTTCAGGTTCTTCATTATCGGAAGTTGCTCAGATTTAAACATGAGGCAGGCACTGATGCAGCACCATGGCCCGAATATACACCCTACACCCTGCTCCAAACAGGGGCCTCAATAAGTGATGTGGACAAAATCCCGAATACAGTTCCTAATGTACACCGTCATAAAACAGCATGTGAACGCTATGCAAACTCCAATTTTGGGAGTCCTGGTAGAAATCTCTCCTTCAAATCCTGTCTTAAATCCCATAATATACTTCATGTGGTCAGAGGTGCCGCCAGGAGAGACTCGTGGTGCTTCTGGAAGAACCTTGCAGCGATACCTTGGGGTTAGGGGTTCTAGGGGCTTAGCATTTAAGTTGTACGATTCAACGCGTACGGCTCCGGCTGTTATGATTCCTGGGGTCATGGGCCTCGTGCCGCTTGCTTACCGTATGTTGCAGAGATTCATAAAGAGTAGCAGCCCTGAAATAGCCTTACATCGCACACGTGGGGCCTATAGGAGCCCCTGGGCCGACTGAATGGAAAGCTAGTCGCATTCTGAGCCCGAAATGCATGCCAACGAGTAGCAAGCATCACCATGCTGAAACCCTGCAGCCTGTAAACCAACTTCATGCTTCGTATTGGGCCATATATATGTACCTAAGCTTACACCCTCATCGAGTCTGGCCATCAGCGGGCGGAAGGCCAGATCCATGTTCGCCCCCTGGCGCAGCGTTTTCCAAAAGCTTTGAACATCATCATGGCTTTAGGGCTTATCGTGACCTGGAGTTCAACCTCATCTGGGTTTCTTTGTAATTCGGTGGTCAGGGTTGCTTGTGCATGTCCACCGCCCAAGAGCACTATACAAGCGCTCAAGACTACAAGGCGTGAAAGCATGAACCCTGAACCCGCAAGCTCCAGTCTAGTTTTCGTATGGTTCTACATAGCCATAGAACCTAATTATTGGAATGAAACCCGCCTGAGCCCTGATCCCCGAAACCTGATTCTCCTTTCAACTTCCGCCATTGCTGGGTCAAACGAGACTGGAACAGCACCACAGCGTCGCATGCAACGTGACAAGAAAGGCCACGGCCAGAAGGATTTCGGTGGTTTTGGAATGCCTGGGTTTCTCGTTCATACTGGGTTTGGGGTTTTCAGGGTAACTGTATGCGGGCCTTTAGGGTTTAAGGTTCTACAAGTCGGGCTTTTGGGTCTTGGGGTTGGGGCTAACCCAACATCGCACTCCGACTCCTCTCTACAAAACCTTCCAGCGCAGGCAAGGCATCAGTGCACACATACAGGTGGATGTGAGTCCGCCACCGTTCGTAGCCCTTTCCCTTTCGAGCGGGGAAGAGATGACCCAAAACACAAGAGTTACGGATCAGGGTTTAGGGTTCAGGCTGAAGAATGGGAGGGGAAGGGCTCAGCCTTTGAAAGGGAAAGGGGCTTCCTCGGCTGCCTAGACTTCCACAAGGTCCCCGTCTTTGCTTTCAAACAGGAGGAAACGTGCCCGGGCCAGGCAGCAGCATGCAGCGACGGTCGGCACTGCAAAGCTGAAAAGCAACAAGCCTCGGGGTATAGGCATCGAAAAACGTGCGAAGGCAAAGTCGAGGACGAATTGACAATCGGACTTGGCCTTCTCTTCCCACACTTCTGGACACTTTGGGTGTAGTAGGAACAAGTAGGCCAGCAAAAAGAGCATGCTCGGGACCAGGGCACAGCTTCCTAGCCACACCCAGGCCCTCGGAGAATCTCCGCAGCCGCCACAACAGCCAACTTTCCGCCCTTCCCTGCCTTCGCTGCCCTTTGGAGCTCCTTCAAAATGAAGGCAGCTGACCACGGCCAGGAAGCTAAGTGAAAGAGAAAGCTGTCTGCCACGCAGGGGCAGGTCTGGGCTAATCCTGCAGCGGCTCTTGCAAGCGGCAAGGCTTTCATGTGCCTTCTGCTCTTCTTCCCAGAGCAAAGCACACTTTGGACAGCTGTGCAGGGAACATCCGTATCTTTCCCAGCACTTGCGGCTGTCGCCGATGCAAGCACGTGAGCCCATGGCAGTCGACTCGTAACATGAAGACGATCCATTACACTCCTCTTGGCAGCTCTTCCAGGCCTCCTCCACAGGAGATGTTATCCCCAAAACTAGGAGGGCTGATGCGGCCAGACTCAAAAAGGCCAGAACACCTGGGCTTCGACAGTGTCGCACGACTCCTGGAAACATGTTCTGGCCACCACGATGCGTGGATACTAGACAGAGTAGGCATTGCCCGCCGGAAACTGCATGCACTACAGGGGCCTAAAGAGCTCTTGAGTATTGCTCCCAATGGTCTACCGGGAATGGCTTCATAAAGCTTTAAACTTATTTCAATGAATAACAGAAGCACAATGAGCAACCATTAATAGGAAGTGATTGAGACCCCTCCTTTGGGCAGCGTCAGTTTTTGAGCCAAGATGCCACAGAACAGCCAACCTCGAAGACTGAGCTCAAGCAGGACACGCGCAAGCCTGCGAGTCTGGTCGAGCGGCAGCAGCAGCAGCAGCAGCAGCAGCAGCAGCAAAAGCAACAATGCTTCACTTTCACAATACCGGCACTGATAGTGCATCAGAATATTGCCAATGTGGAGAATACCATCGGTAGCAATACTGAGAGTCAGCAGCAGCGGCGGCGGCGGCAGCAGCAGCAGCAGTAGCGGCATCTTCATTGCCAGCACTGCACTTTGTTTGCACATCTTGTGTGCTCGAGTTGTTTCGTGACCAAACGATGGTTGATTCCGCACACTTACCTTGAGAACGTGCGCTTTCAGCCGGTGCACTGCGGACTTCCCACCACGAGAGGCCCAGTACGTAGATCTATCCATCTCTCTATTTGTCTATGTTGGCTGCTGTCCCTAGCTTGTTTCCCCCCTACTTGTCACTCCTGGTACTGGCCTGCTCAGCTGCACTGGCCGCCCATAGCTATAAGCCTAAAGATTCCGCCTGACAATGCCCAGAACGCGGCCCCAATAACGGTGGCACTATGCTTGTTTCCGGTGGTTTGTTGGATTTACACCTCCACAGAAACTGTGAATCCCTAGTCCAGAGGTCTGCGAACAGACACGACGGGTCCCCAACAAACTCGACGAGAGCACCTCGAAGTCCCTGGTAGCTGCCGGCATGACGTCGCCCACACAAGTGGCCGCAACGGACACCCCTCTGATTCCTCTGACCCTAAGCCCTAAGCAGGTCACGATTCGGTGCGCGCTGGGTTGGGCAGGGGCACGGGAGCGTTGAAGTCCGAAACACAACATTGAATCACCGAAACCCAACCAAAAAACACACTCTACAGTCGAAGACCATAGGACCTTGAGGTCCCCACCACCCGACACCCGAAGAGAAACCTTCGAAAGCGAACGTTCGAAGTACTTAGGCTTCCACAAGCCCCTGGCCCTAAACCCTCAACCCTAACCCCTAAACCCCTAAACCTCTCAACTCCACAGCCGTTGGAACCCGGAGCTGCAGTTACCGTTGGCCTGAGGTTTGTAGCGCCCAGATATTCTTTGATTCTCACTAGTATTGTGATTACTACAATGGTTGGTATTCTGATTACCACTACTACTGCTACTATAGTATTGGTACTGTCAACAGTTTTCATGCTGTTGAACCGCTATTCACTATGCCTTATGCATCGATGTATGGCACCATCACAGGCTGTTGAAGACAAGGGCAACTGAGGAGTGTCTCTCTGCGAAGGGCCACACTGACGAGAGCCCTGAACTTCAAGGCCCAGACTGTGAGCTTTCATCTTCGCGGCTTCCTGGCTCGGGTTGAGGGATATAACGGATTTTGGGCTTAAGCGGCGGGAGGGGGGGGGGGTTGGGCTCAGGGCTCAGGGTTGATGGCTTCGGGTTTTGCGCTAGACCCCTCATTGATCAACACCCTCTGTGAAAAGACCTTGCTACTAGCACCACGTTTTGAAACCTCCAGGAAGCGGCGGCGCTTCGTGATGGCAATAAACAAATCCTTTTCAAGTTACTTCGCTTCACCCGCAAAGGTAGGAGGCGTAAGAGTCCAACAAGCTTTCACACCCAACATCCCTAAATCCCAAGACGTCAAAAGTCCAAGAAGCCTAAAGCCTAAAGCTGTAAACAGCCAAACCCCAAAGCCAAAGCCTCATAAAACCATGACGAGACCCGTCTAGAAGCCTTCGATCAGCACCCTTTGTCCAAACGCTGGGCCGGCAGGGCTCTTCGTAGGCCATCTAACCTCGCCAGCTCGATCTTGTTGGCTCGATCTTTGTCAGCCTCGTTTCAGGAGTTTGGGAGGGCTGGAAGTTGGGGGCAACTCAAGGGTTTCGAGTTCGGTATAAGCCATGGTCCTTGGGTGTACGAGGTTTGGTGCTTCCCAGTGCACCGCCACTTTCCCTACAGAGAAGCCTGATAAGGCACTTCAAGATGCCCACAAGGGAGGTCGTCTAGAGTCTTTAGATCAATCGGGCGCTCCTTTAAACAACTTCCAATCTTAGGCTTCGGGGTTGCCGTGCTGGTGCGATGCCGAGCTACTCGCTGCAAGTTGGGCCGCGACGAGACAAACTGCTCATCCTAAGCCTGATGCAAACAAGGGACTCCCAATACAGATTCTGAAGAACAGGATTCTGAATTGAAGGAAGTCTAGGACCGTCTAGGGAAAGGGACATCAGTTGCCAAAACCTCAGATTGGGTGAGTCTTGCAGGAACTTAGAACTCTCGGGCGCGGGCTTGCTGCCGTGACATCTTCTCCTCCTGAAACATTCAAGCTTAGAGGCCAGAAGCTGTTCTGGGCTGGAATAACTGTGGCTGGAAGTTTGTTTCTTCTTGCTTGCTGTTCTGGGGACACTTAGTGATAGCTGCTTGTGGAGTGTCGCGTGCGAGATCGAAAGCTTCTAATCACCCTTCCCTGGAGTTCAAGGATCCGAGGCTGAAAGGGTAGAGAGTACTGGCAACGTAGTTTAGTGGCCAGGACCCCAAAACTCCACAGAAACTAAACCCCAGACAAGAGCCTTCATCCCTCACGGGAGTGTTGGGATATATCCCTGCGAAGCTGCTCTTACTCATGCTTGAGGCTTCTTCAGTTAAATCAGCCCAAAGCCCAAAACATGGGTCCTTGGCAGCACCTCTCCACAGCGTGAAGACCGCGGAGAGGAGATGAGTCTGCTGGTGACCTGTCGGGATTCCCAGCTGCCCAGGCTTTCCAATCTCCCTTAGTATAGATATGAGGGATCCGACCTTATTTGAAGGTATATTCCTTAAGTAAGGGATAGTTGAAAGTCTGGTGAGGGGATGTTGGGGTCGGTAGTCAGACCCCTCACTAGCCAACCCGCCTCCCGTAAAAAGGAATATGCAGGCATACTTCAAGATCAAAGCCCCTACCGAAAGAATTGTTCATCGGGCGTAAAGTTCAATACAGCGGCCTTGATGAAGAAAGCAGGGCTTTATGGGGAATATGATGCTGTGAAACCACAGACGATAACGGAACTCTGTTACTGACATAGCGAGCCCTGAAGATCGCAAACCCAACACCCCTACACGCTGAACCCCTAAAGCCTCAATGGAGGCTATACTGCCATACTTCATTTGGGCTTGTTTAGGGCCCAGTGCGAAGGGTTTAGCACGGCAAGCCCTGAGAGCCAGAACCCTCAAGTCGAGAAAGCTTGCTGAGGCGTCCGCCCAGAAGCCGGACGGCCATCCGATCTCGTGTCACCTTCTCCCGGTTCTCGATTAGACATGTGACCAGAGTCTTGGAGGGTTTACTTTTCGATTATGATTATGCGTTGAGGCAAGCTTGGAACAATTCCCATTTATTTGTGAGACCCGCAGAACTGGATTCAGGGTTCAACATCTTCGGTTCAAACTTCCTTTTAGGGCTTAGGGATTCTATGGAGACTTACAGCATGTCGCCCTTCCTTTCCGGCTTTGAACGCAGAACGCCCCTGGTTCGTGAGTCCCTGGAGCCTGAAGGACAGGGCTAAGCACAACGTTTGTTGACTTTTAGCTGGATCGAGTCGGAGGTTTTGGAGTTTGGGAGGTGCTCTTGGGGCAAGGGCCCACATTGCCACAATAGGGGCCGCAAGATGTCGAACAGAGTTTTGGAACCTAGTATAGTACATGTATAAAGGGACTACAGGGGCATACCAAGTTTCACAGCACCCGACTCGAAGTTCACGTGTTCAGGCCATCTCCCGATCCTGAAACCCAAGAGGCTCCTTCAAGACACCCCTCAGTAGCCCTGGGCTTTTGCCGTGCGCATCTGTCAATGTAAGGATCAGAATACCCAAACTAAGGCCACGGGACACCAAAGAAGGCTTCGGAGTGCGCTGCTGCATCCAAGTAGCATTCATGGCCTTGTCTTTCTCCAGCTTCAGTTGGGTGTACTCCTCGCCAGAAAAGCCACCGATGTCACGTGCACCACTGCCCTGAAGTCCAACAGCAATGAACCCTCCCCCGGGAATTATTGCATTCCGTTCGCTTTGTCAGTCATTCAATCTTGTGAATGGGTGCAAGAAAGCGAAGAGAGGAATGTATGTAGCCTGCACATGCCTTTCATCATGTACTTATGCTATCTTGCCTACTATGCATTCCGAGGCACTCGGTAGACTCCCACGATGAAGAGGAGGACGCTTAGAAACCTCAAACACTGAACTCAGTAAACCCTAGCCACCAGTCTCCTGCTGCGCCTTCTGGCGACCCACAGCCTGTCTTTCTGTTTAGGCCAAACATGTGGTGTGGGATCTGAGGCGAATCTGAGGCATCGGAGCTCTATATCCTAACCCAATATAATGTAGAGACCTAAATAACTTCAGCAGTTTTCATTCTACTAGCTCCCTGAACCTTGAATTTTCGGAACTAAACCAACAAGAAACCTACAGGACATCTGGTTAAGACGCCGGAATCAAAGTCCTGAACCCCACGCTCTGTAAATCCCACAATGCTAACCCCGAAATCCGAGATCCGTTAACTGCAACAAGCCTAGATCCCAAAACTCTAGGCCCTCAAACCCTAAGAGTACGACTATATAGGACCCTAAATCCTAGACTCCTAGACCACCCTCAACTCAACTCTTAGATTAAACCCTCCAAGAAAAGGAGGAGCTTCAGACAACTGCGACACCCAAGCATGGAACCCTAGACAGTGCACATCCTTATTCCAAGAACAGCTGAGCTGTCTATCTCCGCTCATCGCCGGGTAAGCCCGCATAAGCTTCTTTTGGGGCATCGTCGAGCCTCATCGGCTTCGCGCTTCGAAGCCTAGCACGGAAGTCGCTGCCGCGGCCGAAGTCCAAAAGTGCAGATTTCAAGGCGCCGAGGCTCCGAAAGTCGACAAACTGATCCCAAATTCCAAACCTGGAACACCTACAGCCTACATCCCCATACTGTTTTTGGGTACTGCATGGTCTTGTTTGCAAAGGAGAGGTCTATCTTTGGGGGGCACTTCGGAAAGTCCCGGCGCCTGCGTGGCCTGGCGCCATGCAACGACGCAGACGGATAAGGTGCTGTTGCGCTCGAAGCCTGGGTTTGGGAGGATTTGGGAACTCGAGGTTCGACGATTTGAGGCTATAGGGCCTATAGGGGTACCTGACTGGTATATAGTAT